AGGTTGAGTAAGTTCCCAAATAAATCAATCTATATATTTTTTAACAATGTACAACATCACGTGTTTTTACATTAATTTCTAACAATAATAATAATCCATACTACACTGTCATCTTTCATAATGAAGACATTGGAAAAGATACTTGATAGGCATATTAGGGAACATATATTGGCTACACCCACTCTATTGGCCCAATACACTCAAAGCAATATGCCTACCAACCAGGGAAATCCTGTGAGGTGGCACTTCACAACTTCGTAACAAGAATAGAAAAATCCTTAGAACAGAGAGAAATCATGATAGGCGTCTTTGTTGATATCGATGGTGCCTTTGATAGAACTCCCTATAACATCATAAATGATGCACTAAGGAAGAAAGACGTAGACTCACTGTCCTTAAGATGGATTGGGAGGATGCTAGAGAGAGTCTTAAAATCAGAACTAGGGCACAAGAAACTATGGATAATCTTAACCCTTGTGGTGGCTGTCCACAGGGAGGTGTGCTCTCCCCTTTACTGTGGTGCTTTGTGGCTGACTCATTGTTGGAAGCCCTAAACACTGCATATATATACACGCAAGGATAAGCAGATGACATTGCTATGCTAATAGGAGGGAAGCATCAAAGTGTCCTCTCTGATCTCCTCAACACAGTGTCTAATATTCTTAGGAATTGGTGCAGGACTAACAGACTAAGCATCAACCCTAGGAAAATTAATGTGTGTATCTTCACCAGGAAGAAAAAGGTGTTTATTAAAATACCGGAAATTAATGGTATCCAACTCAACATAGCAAGGAAGTAAAACACCTTGGAATCATTTTGGACCATAAACTGTCATGGACTAAACATGTTCAGTACGTGACAAGTAAAGCACTCAAATACCTATGGGCCTGTAAAAGAGCGATAGGGAAAAACTGAGGACTCAAACCTAAAATGGTATACCCGCTGTACACAACGACAGTTAGACCTATCATATTATACCCAGCTTTGCTTTGGTGGCATAAAACAAAGACTGCAGCTAATTCATCCTTATTAGGAAAGATCCAAAGACTAGCATGTATGATGATAACGGCTGCGATGGGCGCTACACTGATGGCTGCTATGGAGGTAATGTTGAACATGCCACCGCTGCGGCTGGAGGTGGAGGCTCGAGCAACAAATACATTATACAGGCAAAGCAAGCTGAAAAGCTGCTCCATAATCCCCTGTCAAGGGGGACACACAGTACTGCTGAACAGGATTGGATGTGACGAAGTGCTAGCCATGCGCTCTTACACTCTAATCCGTGAATATCTGGACCACAAATATGGGTTGAGATAGACATCAGCAGACAACACAAACCAAAAAATGGTATAAATTGTTATACAGATGGGTCTCTAACAGCCTATGGCTCAGGAGCAGGTGTCTATCGTTAAGATAACAAAGAAAGAGATTCTATATCTCTTGGCAGATATGTTTCAGTGTTTCAATCTGAGATACTAGCAATTTGCCGTTGTGCTCAAAACCTACTGCGAAGCAATGTGACTGGAAAAAATATTACAATCTATACCGACAGTCAGGCAGCAATAGGTGCTCTAAACAATTATTATGTGTATTCAAAGGTTGTCAAGGAATGCAATACAGCACATAACAAACTGACTGAATGCAATAGAGTTGCAGTGGAGGGTGCCTGGTCACTCGGGCATACTAGGCAACGAAGAGGCAGATAAACAAGCCAGATTGGGCTCAGATACCATTCCCATAACTCCTGAACATGTTTGTGGAATCAGCCTTAGTACTGCCAAAAGTAGGATTAGAGAGATTTATGGGAACATATTTAAACAATACTGGACTGAGAACAAACAATGACATTCAAAGCTGTTCCTTAAAGGTCCATGTGAAAAAAGAAGCAAACTGCTACTGAGTATGGGCAGAGCAGCTCTTAAAAATCTTACAGTGATCTACACAGGCCATTGTAAGTTAAACTACCATATGTTCAATCTCAAGTGATGACGAATCCGCTATGCAGATTCTTTCAAGACGAGAATGAAACAGCCTTTCACATAGTTTGTCGATGTGATAGAATTGCAAGGCTTAGACTGGAACTGTTCGGGGAGGAACGGATGGATCCCCCCAGTAGCTATGAGACGGTCAATCCAACCAGCCTACTAAGATACGCGGAAGCGGCAAAAATAAAGTTTTGAGAATAAACGAATAACTTAATTGGCACACAATAGATCCTTCAGGGGTCAATGTGCTCTGAGCCAACAAATTCTTCTCTTGAACAAGATCAATGTATAAGGTTATCATCCAGATGGCGTTTGGTTCAAAAGTGTGTCCCATGTTTGGTCTCCTCGGCAGCGAGAGTATTTAAACCAGCTTCAACAGAGGACCTGAGAGAATCGTCCTGGTCTCTCTGTGGATGACCTCGTGGTGATGGTCGAGAATCGTACCTGGTTGTGCCAAAGAGGAGTTTTCGTTTAAATAGATAGCTTTACAGCAAATGGTGGGGGCAGATCTAAAAGATAAAGATGACACTTAAGCCCTGAGAGGAGCTGGTTGTATCTGCCCATTCCACAAGCAGCCACCACGAGGCAAACACCATCTCCAGCAGGAGAAGCCACCTACAGAGAGCTCTCCATGTAAAAAAGATGTGGGCTGACATATAGAGGGTAAGCTGTTTTTTTTTTTGCTCAATCATTAACCTACCAATCCCTTGAGATACAGTCCACTGCTTAAAAATTAGGATGTGCTTTGTGGTATGCCATCCTCTCCAGTTCAGAGCAAAGCCGGTAATCTAGTGGTTTGAGATCAGGGCTTCCCGAGGACCAATCCAAGGCAGAGATGAACTCTGGAATGTTCTTTTGCAGCCACTGCTGAGTTGACATGGCCTTGTGAGCTAGAATGGAATCCTACTAGAAAACCCCAATGACTTAGAGCAAAAAAAGTATCATTTAGAGGCTTGACAACAGGTTCCAAAATATCGTCCTGATAGTTTTTAACAGCTGTTTTAACTCTTTTTTTCACAATAGAAATAGAAGTTTGAAATAGAATGAAATGAAAATATGTTTTTATTATCCTGGGACTGTTGTTACTTTAGGACAAATTATAGTTACAGAAGAAATGACAGTGTGGCCATACATTAAATTATAAATGGAATGAAATGAAAATATGTTTTTATTATCCTGGGACTGTTGTTACTTTAGGACAAATTGTAGTTACAGAAGAAATGACAGTGTGGCCATACATACGGCCAAGGAGCACTTTACATCTATCCACTCTAATTTTTTTTAGGGAAGTGGTTAGCCTTCGTCCTGTCATTCTTGGAAATGCACCCATCCTAAGGTCACTTTATATTATGCGAGACACTGATCTGACAGAGATTCCCATTTCCCAAGACATGATTAGTTGTTTTCGAATAGGATTTCTTCTTATTCGAACAGCCACTGCTCTCACTGCATTTGCCGTTCTCACAGCGCGAGGACAGCCCAGTCAAGGTCTGTCACATACAGATAGGGTCTCATTATATCTATTTATAGTGTGGTACACGAACATATAGCTGATACCCTTATAAAAATCTCTGACCTACATTTTCCAACTTTGTGTAAGACAATCAAAGCAATTCGATTTTCTTTATCACCCCACTCCATTTAAACTGAGCAAAAGAAAAATGCAAATTAATTGGGATTATTATCCAGATATGTAAAGAAAATAACTTGATAGAAGTAAGGATTATCTAAATAATACCCTAGGATGTAAACAAAGTTCAACTTTTGTTACAGTATTTGACAGTAGGTATACATATCTTTGATTATTATATATTTATTCTATACTATTTATTTATTATATAGCTTTTATTTATTCATAAGTTGCATTTTATAAAATATTCATCGCATGCGTGTGTATATATTTGATTATTTATATATATGTATCATTATCTTCTAAATTTGGATGCTGGTGGCAGTTCTTCTTTTTTCGATAGAGCTGATTCACAACTTTTTTTTTTGTCTTTGCTTCTTTTTTGTTAAATCTGGCTGCACAAAATTTAGGTGGACGGTATGTTGGATTTGCATCCATAATTTTTATTGTTTATAATATTTAGCATTATATTATAAGTTGCTTTGTATAAATAACTCATGGGCCTCCGTTCTCATCCTGACCTACCTCCTCTCGAGTACGGCATGCCTTATCTAAGAGTGAAGTCCAGGTGCTTGTACTAAGCACACGGCCTCGTCCTCACTTGTTTAGCCGACTTCATCTGAGACAGCCAGCGGCTAGCCTGAACCCTCACTTGCTCTGCCGACTTCAAACAGCTAATAGCTAACCACAGAGGGGCAGCAAAGAGGATATAGCCCTTCAGCTACATAATCTGCACCAGAAGAAAGCGGCTAGACGGCTTAGATTAGCCAGGGGACAGCGGTGGCATAGGAGAGAGGCAACATATTTATGGACCCCCGCAAACAATTGCATGTCACATTAATAGTTAATTTATTAATGTGATACATACTAAAAATAATTGTCCCTTCAGGGAGATTAATTAAAAATAAAATAAAAGAGAACTAACATAAGAAAAGTAGTATCATTCAAAAATATTCCTTCTAATCAAAATCTTAATTTTTTTATTTTACAAGAAAAGGGCTCCCGGTCATATAGCATGTACTGGGCCCCCAAATACTGTACAGTAAGCGAAAATTGTTGGTTTTTGAATATTGATTTCAATCATATTCCTGGATCAAATTTATTATGTTAGGTATGCATTTTATACAGAATTTAAAATGTTTTTAAATTCTTGAGATAATAATGTTTTGATACGAACAACCGTTTTAAGTTTAAATATAGACACACACATATAAGTTATTCTTTTACATTAATTGGTCTCACTTAGCCAGAATCTGATTCTAACACTTATGTCCACCAAAAATCCATATTTTACTGCGATATAAGCTATTATAAAACAATGAATAAAGAATAGACACAGAAGCATGCACTCAAGCAGACACACAAATATAAACACAATAAGTTACCTGTTCTTACTGATATTCTTTGTGCAATGAATCGTCCTCCAATAACTGCCAAACCAGTGCATAAAGAATGACCCAAAATACCTCCCAATGTAACACCATAAACGTTCTAAAAATTTAATTTATCAGACAGATATGCTTCAAAGAGTTGTTCAAAATAAATAAATTAGTAATTACAATACTTACCTAGAAATTTTACTATTCATCTTTTATTTCAACTGTGAAATAAAAATGACCAATAATTATAATGAATCAGGGGTATTAACATATCTGTTAAAATGATGTTCATTAACAGTTGAATTTTCAAAAACATTTCCATGCAATAAATAGCAAACTGATAAAGTGAACTGAATATGGAGAATCTTCAATTGTGCCTGAATGGACATATTTTCATATTAATGTGTAGCAATTGAGAAAAAATTGTTGGTTTCACCCTAGCTTATATCTATGGTATTGCATGCCAAAAAAATAATACACATTTCACAATCAATATGCTTCAAACCTTGTCAAGTCACAAAACTATTCCAATAACTACTAAATAAAGAATATTTTGCTAAATGTTAATCAGTTTGCATAATGAAAAAATAATAACACTAGGGACGAAACTAGGAGTTGTCAAATGTTTATATGGGAGGAGGTAATGTAGGTGATTGAATTTTTTGAGGGTTGATATGGTTCGATCTTTTTGCCATGTGAGGGTTTGGTCAAATACTACTCCAAGTTTTTTAACTGAGGTGTGAAATGACATAGGGGTGTTGTTCAGGATAAGGTAAAGCTGTCCTGGGAAAGATTCAAGGAGAAAAGAGGATCCAATCATGATGGCTTTATGATGAGGAGGCCCAGGCACTTATTCAGGAACAACCTTAAGGTACTCCTTGGGGTCGAGAACCAGTGGAAGTATTACTATATATGGAGTCAATGTGTTAAATAACCTTTTTTTCTATTTATTTATTCACTTTTGTTACTTATTTATTATGAAGAGAAGAATAGTTGGGGGTGATCAGTCAAATAAGAAGGCAAAAATAAATGATAATATTTATTTTGACATTTGCCGACGTTTCGACCTGAAGTTCAGGCCTTCATCAGGGCTAAGAAAAGAACCAGATAAGAAGGTACGAGAAACATAAGTAGTGTAGGTAAAAAAAAAAAAAAAAAGATCTGTACTTAAGACTACACTACTTATGTTTCTCATACCTTGTTATCTGGTTCTTTTCTTAGCCCTGATGAAGGCCTAAACTGCAGGTCAAAACGTCGGCAAATGTCAAAATAAATATTATCATTTATTTTTACCTTCTTATTTGACTGATCACCCCAACTATTCTTCTCTTCATTATTCACGACAGTCAACCATTTACCCACAATTATTTATTTATTATTTTTTAAACTTCTTTTAAAAAGAAAAACATTTATAATAGTTACCCAATAATTTGTACATTATTACTTTTAAAACTAAAGAAAATTCCAGTCTTTTGTCTTTTTTAATGTGATCTGCCTCAAATATTCTACTGGTCCATTATTGTAATGTATAGTAAATTCCAAAGGAAAGTCAAGTCCCAAGTAAAATAAATTAATTTTTAATTGAATTTATCATACATATATGTTTGTCATTAGTGGTCTATAACAAGACATTCATATTAATTAAAAAATTAAATCTTTACAATTCACAGCTATCTAGGAGCAAGCAATTTAAATTAAAAGGTATTTAATTATTTTAAAAAATACTGAACTATTATATTGCATTAAAGCTCAATGGTCATAAATGTTCCTTTATGAATCTATCAAGTAATGAAATATCAATAATGATTATTAGAAATTAATCATTTTTATAAATATAATTTATATGTTTCAAGTGAATAAGTTTAAAAAATACACAAACCTCCCTTGCAGCTAGAATGATTGTTGCAAGTTGTGATCTATCACCCCATTCAGCTAGAAAAGTTAAGGTGAAGGCCTGTAGTATAATTCTGGATACAACAAAGAAAACATTACTTTGTTTTCTTGTAGCAGTACCATTTTCTACATCGGAGCTTAAAACTTCTTTTTCAAACTAGGAAAAAAGAAAGTGAAAAAAGTAATCAATCAAAACTTACAATGATAAAAAGTAGAAAAGCATGAACAAAGCAATCCATGTTAAAGACAAGCAAAGTAGTAAACACAATTTTATAAACACATACACACAACAGGAAAACTTTATTATCAGAGCAACTTCATTATCATATATGCTTATTCCAAGTTACAATTAAATGTTAATCACAATGGAAAACCAATATTATGCATAATATTCTTGGCACATAAAATATATCTATATCAAGAAAAACATATTACATACACAAAGATTATAATTAAATTACTAACAAAATTGATGAATGAGATGATAAAAGTCTTGGAAGAAGGGACCTATGAGACCCTTAAACAAACTCTATTTTCTTATGTTTTTTCATTAACCCTCTCTAATCCTTCTTGAGACTAAGGTATATGACACAGTCTGCTCTCCTGAACCAGCCACTGGACACCAAAAACCAAATATCCTATCCTTCTGGATTTCTCTAACGCATTTGTCACAGTTAATAATAAAATCCTAATAATGAAATATTCCTTTAGTAAACGAATTTTCCTTGAGTTGTAAAGATTGTTATTTTTGTGCAAAGGTTGATCCAATATTTTAGTTTTAAAGAAAACAATACACTTATTTTTCGTTTTTAAAGGAAGTAAGAAACAAACAGAAATTGAAAATAAGTGTGGTATTTATTAAAAGGGGCGAGAGAGAGAGACAGAGAGAGAGAGAGAGAGAGAGAGAGAGAGAGAGAGAGAGAGAGAGAGAGAGAGAGAGAGAGAGAGAGAGAGAGAGAGAGAGAGAGAGAGAGAGAGAGAGAGAGAGAGAGAGAGAGAGAGAGAGAGAGAGAGAGAATTCCAGAAAGTTAAAAATATATATTTTAGAAAATGAACCAATGATTGTAATATGGAATTTCTTCTATATTCCATTTTAGTTATTTATTTCTACATTTTTACATTAAAAATCTAATTTAAATTATTTAAATATATAATTATACCTACTAGGGGGCCACGGGAGTTGTAAGGATAAATGGCACTGAGTCAGAACCTTTCCCAATTGCGAGAGGAGTCAGACAGGGAGATAGTTTAAGCCCCTCCTGTTTATAAACTTCATGGACAAGATCCATAAAATCTGCAAGCGTCGGACTGCATGGACTACAATTGGAAACTGGAATATGAGAACTGTCCTCGTGCAGAGCTTTTTGTATGCAGATGACATTGTGCTCATCACCGATTCCAAGACGAAACTACAGCAAGCACTGGTAGAATGGGAAGAAGAGCTGCTGAGGAAAGGTATGCAAATAAATGCCTCCAAAAGTAAAGTGATGATTATGGCGAAAGAAGAAGAGGAAGACGTCCAATTGGTTTGCAACGGAGAAATTCTTGAGGTGGTAAAGGAGTACACATACTTAGGTACCATAATTGCTAACGCTGGTAAGATAGATGCTGAGATTTCATATAGAATATCTAAGGCGAATCAAGTATATCACCAGATCGTTAGCAGTATCCTCAGCTGCCATGAAGTGGATAATAATACCAAGATGCACGTCTATAAGTCTGTATACCTTCCTGTTCTCACCTACGGCGGAGAAAGTTGGACTATGCTGGACAAACATTATAGTCGCACAACAGCAGCGGAAATGCGATTCCTACGTAGATCGGTGGGCAAAACCAGGAGGGATCGCATTAGAAATGAAACTATCAGAGAACAGCTGGAAGTGCCTGAACTCAAAATACCTTGGAGAACAGGCAATTAAAGTGGTTTGGACATGTCTGCCACATGAACGAGGACATGACCCTATAAAGATATTAGAGGCTCGACCCACAGGAAAGAGGCCACGAGGGTGTCCCAGAGTCTCATATCAGGAGTTCATGGAGAGGATCGGAGGTAGAAGAGGCAAATCCTTCAACCAAATGAAGCTGTTAAGCAGAGACCGGGAAGGGTGGCTGCGTTGGATAGAGGCTCCTCGACGCTAGAAATGGCATTGTGAGGAAGACAAAGAAGAAGAAAAAATATATAATTATATACATTTATAGTCAAATATGCAAAACAAAAATTGGCTAATTGTATCTTAAAAATACAAATTCATAAAAATATTTTATCTTTGGTTAATTAAATGCATGTAAACAAAACACACAATTGCATTAAAATCCAGGCTCTGTTCATCACTTATTTTCATTTGAAACCCCTATACTCCATGATTACTTCCTTAATTTTACATCACTTTGACTACAGTTGTACAGAGTATAGAGTTGTCTCCGAGGATCTCAAGACAATAATAATTCTACCAAGTTCTTGGATGGTGATGTCCATCATGCATCTGCGATTTCCTTCAATTCAAAACTATTTCCATGATATCTGTTTTCGCCCATCAGATTTCAGAGCTCATTGGGCAGAAGAACTCAAAAGAGTTTTTTTTTTTAAAGTTCAGAGTTTATTAACCATTAATTACAATTTGGTCCGACCAGATGGCAACATTTATCAGTCGGTACCATTAATAATAAGTAAATGGTAAGAGCGATAAAATAATAAAATAAGAGCGACTCATAAATACGTGCTTAAGATTTGTCTTCGGTACATCGAGGCGGTCTCATGTGTCCCACCTTTACGAAGAGTTAAAGTGGCTCTTCCCTTCTTTCCGCAGACAATATTTCCTTGGATCTTTCCTATTCCAAACGATCAACACCCGACACCCTTCATACATCTACAGTCTTCTACAGTTTAAACCCGTGGTCCACTCCCAGAAAACAAGATCCCGTGTTTCCGACCTTTATATCCCTTCCCATAGAACTAAGACGTTTGAATATTCCTTTATTGCCCCATCCACTGCCTTCTGGAATTCCTTGCCTTCTGAAATCCGCCATGCCTCTTCCTTGTCCTTATTTAAATATCATCTTTACCAATTACTTCTCACATCCCAAAAGGATGTTATACAATGAAATAAATATTGAAAAACAGATTTTGACTGAGGTGAATGGTTGTAAAAATTGATATAGTTTTAATTTTAAAAATCAACCCATGTTTATTTTATTTTGTTCTCTTTTCATTTAAATAATGTTTTTTTTTTTGTATTTTTTTCAAAATGGTGTTATTTTTACTTGTTTTAATTTAATTTTACTGAAGATACTATTATTCTTTAATATTGACTAATGTAATTTTCGGCCAGATGTAGTTTTTATTTTTTGTTCATATCTGTTATTCATAAGGGACCTGATAATAATATAATATTAATGTAAAATATAAATGATAATTATGATTATGTATCAATATGAATATATAGCATAATAATTTATAAGAGAATAACAAAATAATAAATATGAAAAGCAGCATATGAACAACAATAAGAATAATAAGCTTGACTAGAAGGAATAGAAGTTTATAATCAGAGGATTATATGTCATACATCAATAATTGGAATGATTATTGATGTATGTATATTATTATTAAATGTACCGAATATATTATTAAATGTACTTGGTTTTGTTTCTGACGTTGTATACTTAGCTGATTTCATTTTTAAATGAGTCACCATGCTTGAATTTGAGTGCTATTTTGTATATATAAAATAAATTTGGTGGTAATGATTTGGCTATTTTGAAGTTTTATTCCATATCCCTGTTTTTTGTTATAGTTTTCAATGTCTTCTTTTGTAATTTACAGAGTTTCGATAAATGACTATCTGCACTGGCTCCATAACATTCAGTCCTGTATCTTAGTATTGATTCAAACAATGCCTTATACACCATTATTAACGATTCTTTATTAAGTGAAAATTGAAGACAGTAAATTTATCATTAATAGCTCTAAGTCCCTCAATACACATAGTAAAAAAAATCCTCTCATAGCCTACCAGGCAATTTTCCTCCTTTACGCACGGCAAAACATTGCTAATATGGCCAAAAAAACTATATAATTGTGTCTGGTGGACAAAAATGTTTAGGCAACTTTCCAAATTTAATTAAAGTAAAGGCAAATAACTCTAATGAATTCAACATAAGCAACATTTGACTTATTTTGGCAGTGGACTCTATTTTGATTTAAAGTGGTAGGTTATATGAATTCTGTAAAATAAAACTCATCCTTTTATGCTGGCATGGACATCGTACTTGACTTAGAGGGCCCTCCAGTCCGCTCTAGTTGTTTTCTCTGGGAATTTCTGCCTTGGAATGGGCTGAGAGCATCTCGTAGCTGGAGTGGATTAAATCTTATCTTTTAAACCTTCTCTGATCCGTTTTCCCTAATCGCCGCAACATGACACTCGAGTATTATAGCATTCACACAAAACAGTCATATTGCATAATTATGTACATACTCATTCTTTGTAGCACTCACACACATACCATTGGGAGTCTGTAACCCATATGTGGCATGCCCCCAGGTGATGGATAGGGGAATGCTCACTAGATATAGAGGGAAAGAGGGAAATAAAATACCTTCCGCAGACCAAACAGACTAACGGAAAAAAACCTCGAATAATAAACCAACCATGGTAAGTAAGAAGGAACGCAAAAGGTTGGATCCCCAGTACTGGCGTCTGCTGGGGACGAGATAGTGGGTTTCCAGACGTCATCATCATATGACCGCTGAATATTCTATGCAATGAATTTTAAATTCTGCTAGAAGTGGAAAGAGCTTGTCGAGGAAATTATGATGCTTGGCAATTTCCTCCAGCCAAGAGATAATGTCCATAGAGAAAAAAGAGAGTTATCGAAAAATATTGGATACGGCGCACAGTGCATCGACCAATGGACAAAAATAAAAAATTGAATTATATTTTAACAAGTCAATTACCATTTGAAATCTGTTAATAAACCTTCAAACACAATCTTCTAGGATTATATCATTGTTTACATTATTTTTTAAGTCAATACAACAGGCAAAGTGCAGCTATTAATCCTTTTTCAACAAACACATTATTACTATCAACTTTTGTTTCTTACTGGGAGCACTTGGCTTTTCTATAAAATTCAGCTCCAAGTATGAAATTTACAGGT